TTTCTGCTCCCTCTGCACACACAGACCCACACCTGAGCTCCTGTCTCCACTCCCCCTGCACACAGATGCAGACCTGAGCCCCAGTCTCTGCTCCCCCTGCACACACAGACCTGAACCCCAGTCTCCACTCCCCCTGCACACAGACTCACACCTGAACAGCCTGTGTCTGCTCCTGCTCACAGACTAGATAGGTACAGAGGGGATGATTTGGTGCAGTGGGGCTCTTGGGAGGGGGCAAGAGGTGGGCATAAGGGTGTGTGTGTGTGGTGTGTGTGAGGGCTGGGCAGGGTGCTTGGCAAGCACAGGGGCATGTGGCTGTTGCTGCTCACCTACCCTTTCTAGGTGGAGAATCCTGCTTCCAAGTTGGGGTGCGCAGCACACCTGAGCCCTGTCAGCCACCCGCAGAACCCTGGGTCGTACTTACCTTGCTCTATGCTGGTTGGGAACAAGGGCATTGGGTCCCCTAGCCTGTGGCCCAGCTTAGCCTGAGCATTGACCTTGTTTGGGGCCACAGGAAGTGTGCAGCGGGGCGAGGGACAGGTGGCCGGGGCGGGGGTGGGGTTTCAGGCAGTGGTCAGAAAGGGATTCAGGCTGGGGCTGGAGTCAAGTCGGATCCCGGGGTTTCCCACAACCCTCTCCTTGGCGAGTAACTCGCGCTGGAAACCCTCCAGGGTGGACCGCCCGCTGAGGTCGCACTGGGACAGAAACAGCCAAGGTCCCCTGGCCACCTCCTGGAGCTGAGGGCTGGGAGAACAGCTCTGCCGCATGGTAGGTTCTCGAAAGCCTTCAAACCGCCGCGGGCACAGCTGAGTAGCTTGCCCGTCAGCGGCTGTTGTGTGTGGAGTGACCCTCACTGGGCCCAACAAGCCCGGCTGTGGAGCCTCCTCCCTTCCAGCTGGCTGGCAATGGCTGGGCGACTCAGGGCAGCGCCCCAGGCAAGCTCATCTGCCCCCCGCCGTCACGTGACCACGAGGAAGCCGTCCACACCCCCACCCCCTTGCAGGTGTTGCATCTAGTCCCTTGGTGCCACCAGCCGGCTGAGAGCCCATAACCGGAAATCAGGGGTCACACATAATCCTGTCCTCGAAGGGGTAGCGGGGGGGGGAGGGGGGGGCGGGGAAGAACCTACTGTGCCCAGAGGCTGAGGCAATGCCGGGGATACAGGACACGAACCTCAATCCCGAGGCGCGGCTCGTTGCCCGGCAACGTCACGCGCCTCTTCCGGCATCAACTGCTTACTCCGCCCCGCCTCGGTGAGGTCAGCACGCCGCCGCCGTGGGGCGGGGCCTGCGCGTCTCTGTCAGCTCCGGACCGCTGACTGACCACTGGTGCTCAGTATACCCCCCATCTCTTGTCCAGGGCCCCTCCCCTTCAGCGGTTACCCTGTTGCCCAGCAGGACCTTGCCCTGTGCACGGTACGGCTGTCAGCACGCAGCTGCCCCCTGTGCGTCCGCGAGGCCAGCTCCATAGAATCCCTTCCTAGACCTGGAAGTAGGCCGCCAGCCTGGCCTCCAGTCCTGTCTGAGGCAGCAGAAACCCCGAGTGCTACTCTCCTACTGCACCCGAGAACCCAGCCGCTGGGCAGGGCAGGTGTCCCCTGCTCCCCAATTCCAGGCTGGGTGACCCTTAAACAGACCCTGCTGCAGGCCTCAAGAGGCACTAATGAGCTGCGCCTCCTACCAGCCCCTCCAGGGCCCTGGCCATCCATTCCCCACACCACTCCCACCCTGGCCCAGTGCCCTATGCCCTACTTCCCTTCCTACCCACCTACCCCCCTCGCTCTTCCTCTCCAACCTTCTATCCCACGTCCTGATGGCCACCTGGATGGATGAGTTCAATCCACCTCCCCCAGGTCCACCTCCCACCAGGCTTGCTTGAGCTGTCGTCCATCTCCCCCCCCTTCCACTTCCTCATCCTGCAGGCTCTATCTGCTTCCAGGACTCACCCCCTCCCCTGTCTAATTTCAGCAACTGCATGATGAGACAATGAGGTCACTTTCTGCACTCTACCCAAGGCCTTCTGCAGCCCCCACCTCAGACTCGGCCAGATAGCTGGGTGATAGCCTCCCTGTGTGGTGGCTCTGCAGTCCCCTGCCCCCATTTCCTGAGCTGAGGACCTTCCTGTGCTGGGATGGGCCAGTGAGATGGTTGCTCCCAGTGGGAACGGGGAAGTCACTCCAAATATTGCTGTGACCCGTGGGGGCTGAGGTCCCACAGGAATCCCCCACAGTGGACGTTTCCATCTACCCACCCTGCCTTCACAGCTGGGGGCGGTGGGCGGGGGAGGGCTGGGCTCTGTAAGGCCAACAGCTCAGGCAGGTCCTGAAACCATCTGGAACCCTCACCCAGTGTCCTGCCAGCCTAGAAGTCCGGGGGGCTGGCAAGGGGGGACCTCCATAGCAGTGGGGAAACTGAGGCCCAGATGAGCTGGGGCTGGTGTAGCTCTCCTGGTGGCAGTGCCCCCACAGCCTTGGCTTCCCCTGGAGGAAGAGGCTTTACGACCCTCGGGGTTCTGGAACAAGGCGTTGCTGTGGGCTGCATTCAGCTTGTTCCCCAGCATGAGGGGTTGTCCACTGAAGAGTACCCCCAAGGATGCCCCTTCCTAGGCCCCTGGGAACCTGTGGGGGTGCACAGCCAAGCCAAGCTCCTGAAAGGGGGTGACTCCCAGGTTCCAGGGGACGTGCTTGCTGTCCCTCATGGGGGTCCCTCTCTCCCTGAGGTGCAGTGCTCTGATCCCAGGTCACCAGTGGGACCCTGCTGGGCCTGACATAGTGACGAGGACCAGTCGGGGAGGGAGTGGGGCAGAAGCCTGGACAATGCCTCTGGAGGTGAGCAGTGGGCCTCTGAGGAGGAAGCCTGCAGCCCAGGGGGAGGGAAGCCTTCAGCTGGCCGGTGGGGCAGGATGACGAGGAGCTATTTTTGCTTGCGCTGAGGCCACTGCAGTGGGTCATCAATCATTGATGCTCTCTGGGCGGCCCTCTTGCTGGAAGCTGATGGCAGCCTGTAGTTGGGGTGATCTTGGTGGGGCAACACAGGCTCTGCTGGCACCCATTCCTCCTCCATGCCCTGCAGGCAAGCCTGAGACCCTCTCTAGTTCGGACCCTCAGGGCAGGTTCCCAGGGCCCCCAGGGAGGGGCTGGCAGGAGAAAGCTTGCAGAGTGCAGAGCTGTCTGCAGGACCCATCGATTGGGGGCACTTGGTAAGATGCGTGTGCCTGGGTGCACATACCCAAGTCACCACTCAGTTTGGGGAGTGCCTGTTGGTTCCTGAGTCAGGTTGGGCCCTGCCTGCCCAGCCTCATGCCCTGCTAGGGACGGAGGGACCAGCAGTGACAGTGGGGGATGAGGGCAGAGCTGGCTGCATAGGCCACATCTAGGTCAGGGTGGGCAGGCAAGGCCTGGGAGGCAGGTGGAGGGATCCTTGCTTGACCCCAGGGGACAGTGGGTGGGAGATGGGCTCAGGGCCGGCTGTCTCTGGCCTCAGGGCCGGCCGGGGCATCTGTCCAGCGGGATAGCTACCCCTGTAAAGGCTAGAGTGAGACGAATCCAAGGGCTCTGTTACTCCCCCATCAGGATGGGGTCCAGGTTCCTGGATGGTTTGGGACCCCCACCCCACCCCACCCCCACCTCCCCATTGTTGGCTGGAGGGCATTGCCCAGGGACCCCCAGCTTCACAGAGATGGGGGGACAGGGGGTTTTCCCTCAGCAACCTCCCAAGACCCTCTCCCTTCCCAGGGACCCTCTGGGTCACAGGCTTTGTCCCCAGTAAGCGTGGCTGCTCTTTTGTGCTCCTGCTGAGGCGGGGGCCCAGAGCTGTCTCAGGGACTCATGGAGGAAGAGATGGGACTCTAGGTACAGAGACCCAGCCTGCTGTCCCTACCCCAGCCCCAGCCCCCTCCTTGGCTGGCCCTCTCCTTTCTCCTCACCTCTCACAGGGTAAGTGTCAGATCCCCCACCTAGAGGAGGAATCCCAGGCAACAGAGGGAGGGGCGGGCTACCCAGGAGACTCCTGGGTCAGTCCTGGGCCTGACCGATCATACTGAGACGGTTCTGGGCATGTCTCAGGACAAGTGGGCAGCCCAAGGGACTGGCTCAGAGCAGGTGTCTGCTGTGCTGGGGGTGGGGCAAAGCCCCCACGCAGGGCAGGGTGGCATCCCTGCACTCAGATCTCACAGCTGGGCATGTGGAAGACTTGATGGTGGCCTTGTCCTGGCCTTACCAGCGGGGGCTCTTCCCTCCCCACAAATCAAGACTATCAGGAACGTCATGTGGAATGAGGTCACTG